CCACGGCACAGAGGAACATCACCTTGGGTAAGAGAGTATTGATGATGTGATGCTCAAGTGCTGGTCCACAAAGGTCGTGATCAAGAGCGTGGCGCGATGGGCAAGCGGGGGGCAAATACCCGAATACTGGTCAAGAGATGTCGTATCAGGATCACCCACATGAAATTGGACACACAACAATACAGTGCAAACGAGGTCATATCCAAATACATCTCTTGGACCTTTGGAACAAAGCCATTCCGCGAGCCGAGGCACGCTCTCAGTGTAGAGCAACTCCGGGAGCAGAACGCTAGAATGCTATTGTTACAACGGAATGGCTCGGCTTGGGACCCAGGCGCACACAACGTGGCGCTTATTGAGATCGAAGTTACTTATCTCCTTCCCACGTAGGATTTGCTCGATTGGCGTGTTGGTGATCTCTGACAATGATATCCTGTTTCCAGTTACAAAGCAAACCCATTCGATTCGTAGTAGGACATGGTGGTCAAAATTGCTATGACAGAGTATACTTTCTTGGGACAGTATTAAATGTTGAGGGTATTTTTGGGCAAACGGATGTTTAACACCGCGGTCATCTTCCTATTGGTTGAATAAGGCCGACAGCTAATTCGGTCAGCGCGCAACCGTCGCCCACCACAGCGACACCACAACGAAGGCTACAAATACGGTGGATCCGTTATCGACGACGAAACGGAACAGTGCATTCTCACGGTAGAAGGGGTACCACGTAATCATGAAGATGCCATGAATGGGGCCGAGGCCAAGGAATGGCAGCAAGCAGAGGTTGTGGTACTCGATGCCATGACCGTTAATGACGTATTCGACATTGTCCCTCCCCAAGCAGAGGACAAATCTATCCGATGCCAATGGGTGTACGCCAAGAAGAACGATAGCGAAGGCCACTCGATTGATGGCCAATGGCTTCTTGCAACGTCATGGAATCGGCATCTTCGAATCATGCTCGCCGGTAGTCAAAATAGTTACGCTGCGGACAGTGATGAGCAATGTGGCACACCACGGGCATCATGCTGAACAAGGCGATGCTGTGCGTGCATACCTTCAAAGTTCCCTTCCAAAACATGAGCGGATTCTGCTGAATCAACCGCTAGACCAACATCAGCTTGCGGTCCAAATTGACACAATTCCTCGAACGAACCAACATGCCCTTAACTCAAGGAGAGTATTGATGATGTGATGAGGACGAACATGTGTCAATTTGGATGCCTTGCGAAATTGGATTGTCCGGATACAGACGTCATTATCCGGATATTTCGCATCCAGTTTATCCGTACTAGTGGAACGAGGGGTCGCAAGACGGCACAACACGAAGATGCACGTGGCGTCCGCTGCGTTCCTCTTGAAGGAGCGCATGGGAGAGTGCAAAGCATGACAACTTGTCACCGCAACGAAGGTTTCGACCGTTGTTGGGCATGCTGC